TTAAAATATAAAAATTTATTATTTTGTTCATTTATATTATTTTTATTATTTAAAATAAATATAGACAACAGTAAACATATAATAATTTTATGATTTTTTAAAAATTCATATAAATAATATAATTAATTTTTTTAATTTAATTATTTTAAGATATAAGTAAAAAATTAATCTAATTATTTATTTAATTAATTTAATTTTTCATTCAAACTATACTATTTTTGTTTAATATAATTTTGATTAGCCATCTGTTATTTTTTTATTTTATTTTTATTATTTTATATTTTTTTTTTGAATTAATTGTAGAAAAATACACTTGACGTAAAAATAAAATAAAAAAATATTTATAAATATTATTTTAATGATATTTTTGAAAAGATATAAGTAAAATTATTAAATTAATTTATTTATTTTTTTAAAAATACAAAGCCTGTAAAATTATATAGATTTAATAAATATAAAAAATTCAATCTTTCTAATAGTGTGTAATATTGTTTTTTTTATAAAAAAATATATTATAATATTTTATATAAATCTAGACTGTAATTATAATTTGCATTATTATTTTTTAATTTATAATAGACTGTAAAATTAATATATTTTACTCAATTATTTTAAATAATATTAATAGGAAGTAAAATTTTATTTGAATAAAATTTTATTTATATATTTTTAAAAAATCTAGTGTGTATCTATTTTATACCTATTTATAAAAAAAATAAAAAATAAAGCTTGTAATAATATTTTTAATAATAAAATACATATTTATAAAATAAGAATGTAAACTATTATTATAATCTTTTTTAAAAAAATATTTTTTAAAAAGTGTGTAATAATGAAGTTAAAAATCAATTTAAATTAATTTTTAAAATTTAGTTTGTAAAATTTATATAAATAAATTTAAATAATATATTTTGTAAACGTATTTATTAAATAAACTAATTAAATTTTATTAATATAGATTGTATATATTATCACATATTTAAAATTATCTATTTTTAATTCATTTTTAGTTAGTAATATTTTTTTTTAATGTTATATATTTTATACATTTATTTTTATAAATAGATTGTAAGATAACAATTCTTTAAAAATTTAGTTATAATATAATTATCATTAATAGGCCGTATGACAAATATTAATTATTTTTTATTTGAATATTAATTATAAATTATTTGATATAGTCTGTATTTTTTTTTTATTAATTTCATAATTAATATAATTCATTATAAGGGGGTATAATATTATATATAATTTTTTAACATTAATTGTTTATCTAATAAAGACAGTATATTATAATATTAACATTATGATTTAATTATTTTATTTTTAAAAAAAAGTTTGTAAATTTTAAATTATTAAATAAATCACAATTTTTAATCATTAAATAGATGGTAAGAAATTTATAATTAATTAATATTTAAAATAATATATTTTTAATATAAGGATGTATGAAGCAAATATATATATAATATATTTATATTAATTTTAGGATGTAATTTTTCTAAAACATTTATTATTTTAGATTTTTATATTAATAAATAATAAAATCGATAGGATGTAAATACATTAATTTAATAAAATAATTTAATATATCTTATTTTTAAAGGGAGTTAAAATAATTTATTTTAATTTAATTTATCTAATTAATTAGATATGGGTAAATATTCTAGAAATTTACATGAATTATTTAAATATTTTTTTAATTTAAATAAGAAAGTAATATATATTAAGATTTTTAATATTTATTTAAACATTTATATAATATAGTGCGTAGATATTATTATTTATTTATAATTTTTTTAATTTTATTATTATTTGAATTACAGAATGTAATATTTTTAACTATTCTATTATTTAATTATGATAAACATAGAGCGTATAATTTTTTATTATTTTTATTAATTAAATAAAATTTAGAAAGTAATATTTTCTATATAATTAAAGCATTTAATTTTTAAATAAAGAAAGTAGAATTATTTTAATTAATTACTAGACAAAAATATTTTTAAATAGATAGTAATATTTAAATTAGATTTATTTTATTCAAAATTTAAATAGGATGTTAATTAAATAGTATTTTTTATTAATTTGAATTATATATTTTAAGGATATGGATGTTTTCAATAATATTTATTTATCAAAAATAAATAATTTATTAATTTAAAATCAAAAAGCCAGTAATTTATATTTTTATTATTAAATTATTTATTTTAATTTTAATTAGTTTGTAAAATTATTCAGATTCAATTATATATTATTAACAAATTCTAAATAGTCAGTAAAAATTTTTATATATTTAATAATTTTAAATTAATATATGTCCTTTATAATAAAGAGAAATGTAAGTTCTTCCTAGAATTCATTAAAAAATAAATAAAAATAGTTAGTAATTGTTAAATTCTAATATTTTTTAATCATTTTAAATTTATTAAAAAAATTAGTGCGTAAATCATTTAATATAATTATTTAAAATTAATAATAATATTATTTTAGTAATGCGTACATCTTTATTTATATTATTATTTTTTTAATGAGTTATAATAAAAAGAAAGTAATATTTTTATTGTATTGAATTTAAATTATATATTTTTTTTTACCCTTAACCAAAATAGAATGTTTATTTATAATTTTTTTTTTTTCATGAATGATTTGTTTAATAATAACCAGAGTTAGATTTCTTAATTTGTATTAATATAATTATTTAATTTAAATTAAATTAATATAATAATTTTGATTATTTATATTTCTGTTAATTTTAAAGGTAATAATATTAAATATCTTTTTTTATTAAAAATTATTTTTTTTATAATTATAATTATTATATTATTTGAAGAGTGATGTAGTAAAGTATTTATTATGTATTTAATCTTAAAAACTTAATATAGGCAGTAATTATCTTTATATACTTTCTTTTTAAAGAATATTTTATAATAAAAAACATTTTATAATTATTTTTATTAAATTAAGAATGTAAAATCTTAAATAAAATATTATAATATTATAATAATCTTAAATAGAAAGTTAATATTTAATTAAGATATGTATATATTTAGTTTAATATTATAGATTCCAAATGTAAAATTTAAATTATTACCTTCGATTATATTTTAATTAAATATTTTTAGCTTTAATTAGTAAATTTTATTATTTAAATTTAAATGTTTTCTCATATCAAATTAGATTGTTAAAATTAATAATTTTATATATTGATTTTAAATTATAAATTCTATTCAGTGTGTAATTTTATTATCTTAAGTTTTTAATAATTATTATGATTAAAATAAGGATGTGAGATATATTTTTTAAATATATATCATCAATAACATATATAAAATACTATAGAAAGTATAATTTTTTTATATTATTATATTTATTATTTATTAAATAAAAAGCATGTATTTTAATACTATTTTTAAATAAAATGTTTGAATTAATCAAAAAATAGAAAGTTATGCTTTATTTTTAGTGTTATATTAATTTAAATAAAGGACGTAATATTTTAATTACTTTTTAATATTTTTATTTATTTTTAATTCAAAATAGTATGTAATTTGTTTTGAAAATAAATAAATTATAAAGCATATATACAAATATAATTAGTGCGTAAAATTTATTTTATAATTAAAATAATTTGAGAAAATTCTTAAATAGGAATAAGTAATTTAAAATTTAAAATAAATTATAAAATAAAATATAAAAAGAAATATATTTTTAAAAAATAAAATAAATATTTAAAATAGTTTATTTTAATTTTTATATTATCTAAATTAAAATTTTATATTATATTATTAGGAATTTAAGGTATTTTAGTGTATATTAATTAAAATATCTCTTAACAAAGGTTAAAATGAATATAAAAATAAAAGAATTTTAATATTATTATAAAAAATATATTAGATTGAAAATAAATGGTATAATTTAATTTAATTTATATAAAATAATATAAGAAAAAAAAGAAGTTGATGAAATTGTAGAGAACATAAACATAGAATATATATATAAATTAAAAAATATAGTTATATAATATTTATATTAATTAATATATATAAAAAATATAATTTATATATTTATAAATTTTTATAAAATATATATAAATATATAAATTTAATTATATTTTTTAAATTATTTTATTTTATAAATAATAAATATCTTACTTTCTTATATATAATATATTATTAACTTAAATAAATCATTTATTATTATTAATTTTTAATAATAAAAATATTTTTATGTAAAAGATTTTTGTTTATAAAATATAAAATATAATTTTTTAATTATATTTTTTTAGTATATTTTTCAAAGTTTTTATTTATTTAACATTTTTTTTATTTATTTTAAATTATATTAATTTTTTTTTTATTTATATATATATATATATTCATATATATATATTAAATAAAATTTTAAAATTTATGTATTGTTAATTTATTTAATAAAGAATTTTCTTCTCTATTTATATTTCAATATATATATATTTTTAAAATAAGTTTAAATTATATTTATAAAATGTCAAAAAAAATTATATAAATATTAAATTATTAATATTTGCTATATTTTTTTAAAATTTAATATCTACTTTTTTTGTTCTTTTTTTATTTGATAAATGTAGGACTTTTTATGTTTTTTATAAACTATTTCTTGTTGTCCTTTAAACCCTTTTTTCGAAAGATAACTTATAAATTTATTAAAATTTTGATTTATATTTTATTAATATTTTTAAATGCATATTTAATTTAGAACATAAATTAGAAAAAAAATATATATATATAAGAATTTAAAAATTATTTCGATTGACTTTCTCTAACTATCTAACTAGTAACCAAATCCCATAAGCAATAATATTTAATATATATAGATATAAATTCATATTATTTAATTTTATTTATTATTATATTTTAATAATTATTTTTATTAAAAAACAAAAGCAAATTAGAATTATTAATTTTATTATGAAATTATTATCTATAACTTTGATTTTTAATTAATGTTTATTAAAAAGTAAATTAAAAAATAAATAAATAAAAAATATATAAACCAAAACACAAACAAAATTAAATGAAATTAAAAAAAAGTAGCATTTTTTTAAAGGAGAATTTGAAAAAAAAAGCAAATTTTTATGCATGTTTTGCGGAGGAAAAAATTGTCCAAAAGAAAATTATTTAAAAAATCCAAATATAAATGCAATTGAAGGATTACACTCAGATTGGATAAATAATGACATTTTAGCAATGTAAAGACCTTCATCTAGGATAATAAAAGACTTTAATTTAATTTAGTAATTTAAAAATAATAAAATTAAAGCAGTTTTTAATCTCTAGTTACCAGGTGAGGTAAATTTATATTATTTATTATAAAAATAAAAAGTAGTTTATAATTTTTTTTTATTTTTAAAAAAATAAAGCATCCTTATTGTGGTGATAATTTAAATATAAATAGTGGATTTACATATTCAATAGAAGAATTTACTGATAGTTAAAAAAAAAAATTAAATATAATGTTAATTCTAAAAAAACAAAAAAATAAAAAAAGATAATATATATTTCTTTAATTATGGATGGACTGATATGACTGTTACGAATCCAACATATATGATGAAAATAATGTCTTCTATAGATTTTATTATATCCTAAGGATATAAAGTAAATATTAATATTTTATTAATTAATTAAAATAAAAATATTTATTAAGATTTCAGTACATTGTCATGCTGGTACTGGAAGAACTGGATTAGTAATTGCTTCTTGGTTAATATTTAATGAAGGGATGAGTTATGAATAAGCAAGAAACCTTTTTAAATAAAAAAGAAAAGGAGGTTTAGGAAAAAATATATAGAAAATATTTTTAAAAGAATTTTAAGAATGTAAAATATATATTAAATTTATATTTTAAATAATATAATTACTTTATATATAGTTTTAACATAATCTAGAATTACTTTTGGACTTAAATAATTAATTGATTTTGAACATTTTATTTAAAAACAAGAGTTAATTTTATTAACAAATATAAAAAATCAAGCAAAATATTAACCTTTAATATTCCATTAATCATTAGATAGAATAAAATAATTAATATAATATAATTATATTTCAGCAGAAGATGTATACATTAAAAAACAAATTTATTATAATTATATTTATAAAATAGGCTTGTTTAAGTTTTTATGATATGTAACATAAATAATAGTAATGGGGAACTGAATAGGAAAAATAAATAAATGAGTTAAAAGTAAAAACTATATATTATATATTATATATATATATATATATATATATATATATATATATAATATATATATTTTTAAACAAAAAAAGAGTTTAATAAATATGTTTTAATTTAAATTTTCGTAATTTCCAGATTGTAGAATAATAAGTTAATTATTACTTGATTTTTTCGATTAATAATAACTCTAAGCAATAAAAAATCAATCTGCATTAGTATTAAATGAAACATTAATTTAAACAAAGGATTTCGAGTAAGTCTTTTTGAATAGAAACATTGTTTTGTTACTAGGTAGATATGAATTTACAATACTTTTTCGTTTAATAGAATTTTCTTATGTCTTTTTTTTCCTTAATAAAGTAAAAATTTAACTTATAGAAAACTTTTTATTAAGAATTTGTATTTCTTTAGTTTCTAAAAGATAAAAATTAGAAAATATATTCATTATGCGTTCTTTTTTATGTAAATAATACGATGATTAAGTTGTTTAAAGTCTCCATTCTTTTATGAGTAAATGGTTAAATTAGTGCATTTAAAATGGAGAAATCAATTATAATTATTAAAAAGCTTTTTATACTATTTGTAATTAAATTTAATATGAAAAAAAACATGATTTATAGTCTAAAAATAATGGTTCTACAAAAGTCCATCCAATTATTTAAAATCTAGAAAATGAAAGTTTAAGTAAAAAAAATATTTCTGATATTTTAATTGGAACTAATATTATTTAATAAAATAAAGAAGTAAATTAAAAATCCTTAAATTAATCTTAGATTAAAAAAAACAATGAATAGTATGCTAATTTATATGATCATGAAGAAGAACATAATAATAATTAAGATATATTAGAAATTTAAAATTGATTTTTTTTATATTTATAAAATTAAATTATGAATAATTTTTTTTTATTAATTATATATTAATTAAATTTTCAAAATTTTGTTTTTTAAAGAAATAATTTTTTTTTATATATATATATATATAATTTATTTTATTGTTTGATATATTAAATATCTTTTATATTTTATTTTATTTTGAATAAATATTTATCTCACAAAAAATTAATTAAATATTAAAAGTATGTATTTTAAATTATTATATCTTACTTTATCTTTAATATTTTTTTAATAGTAATACTTATTTTATTAGCAAGTTATTTTTGAAATAATATCACAAATCTTTAATTTTTTGGGCTTATAGTATAAAAATATATTAATCATTAATACGAGAAAAATTGAACTATAGACCATACACTTAAAGAGACCTATAAATTAAAAACATTAAATTTTATATTTAAAATTACTTTTGGGAAGATATTATTTTTTATGAAAAAAAATTAATTTCTCCTTTTATAAATTTATAAAAAATTAAGTATTTATATTTTTATATTTTAAAAGCAATGTTTAATTTTTTTTTAAAAAAAATGCTTTAATAATATAAAATTTAAAATTGTTAATATATTAAATAATTAAGGTTATAAAAAAAAATGATATATATATATATATATATATATATATATATATATATATATAAATAATTATATATATTATTTTTATATATTAATACATATACTTATTATTATTATTCAATTAATATATACATATATATTAATATATGTAAAAAAAAAAAAAATAATATATAATATAAATTTTATCACAAAATTGGAATAGAATCATTCCAATCCAAAACCATATTTTTGCCCCATTTAGTTTTCATTACCTGTTCAATTAGAGGAACTAGATCTTCATCTTATTTATCATCCTAATCTTTTTTTTCAAACAATCTTTTATTATTTTCTGTTTATTCCTTAAAGCTGACTGTCATAATAATTCTATCATCTTTATTATATAACTCGTCATAAAGTATTATATCAAACTTCCCATTATTTTTAATTTCACAAACCCTATAATCAAGTGCAAATATCACTGAATAATGATATTCTTTACATATCACCCAAATTGGAAAAACTGGTTTTTTAAGATATTCCCCTACCTCTATATATTACAGATGCTCGAAAATCGTCAAAAACCCAAACTAACTTTTTTAATCTATTCCCCTAAGTCTAAGTTCATCATCGAGTACTTTTTCACCATCAAAGCAATTTGATCTGGCCTTTCCTGTCAAAAACAAATTCACTTATTCCTATTAACAATGCCCATGATGTCCTATAAGAGCGTTTTCTTAAGAATCCATTTCATCTTTTATATTCTAAACTCCTTTTGTCAAAACAACACTATAAAGGAAAGTCGTAATCCCACTATTATGCTATCCAATAAACTCTTCTTTGAATTAATGCAGTCCTTCATAAGCTTACTCAATTGTATTAGCTTTAAATTAGCAAATTCCACAATTTTCAACGGGAACAGCATTTTAATATGTAGTCTATGTAATGACTGCAATCTTAATATTATTATCACTTTCTTTACAATTAAATAAAATTTCCGCTAAAGCAGCAACTAAACAATTCTCCCTTAATTATTTATTTTTATAAAATTCAATATTATTAACTTAATTATTTACAGGAGGTGCAACAAACATTAAATATTTCAAAAAAAGAGCCTAAACGCATGCTATAATTCCACAAGGACCTCCTTCTTTTTAAACCAAACCATAAAATGTATTTTCATTATCGTTTAAAATAAAACCTTAAGACCATGAATAAGGTAAAAACTTATTCTATTGCTAGTTAAAGAGAAGCTTTTTGATTTCCTATATATCGTTTCCTTATATTGGAGTAGTAATTCTTTTTGATAAATTTTGGAGAGTAGTATTTTTATTTAAGTTTAGTTATTGAGGACATTTATAGTTTTATCCTATTTTACCTTTTTCAAATAAATTTATTTTTATATATTTATTCAAATTATTCTCTTGAAATTCTTCTTATTCTTCTTATAGAAAATTAGGGCATTCCATGTTTATTAATGTTGGTTTTACATTAAAATTCAATTATTATTCATTATTATAATTATTATTATTATTATTATTATTATTATTATTATTATTATTATTATTATTATTATTTTCCTATTTCTTTTATTCTTCCATTTATTTGTTTTTGTTAAAAAAATTAAATGTTTTTATACTTTCTCCATTATTATTTTCTTTCTAAAATAATTTTTCTTCTTAATTATTTACTATTCGAGATTCAATTACATTATTATTATTATTAAATAAAGAATCATTAACAAAACCACTTATTTTTTATTATTATTATCCTTATTCTCTTATTTTTACAAAAAAATCTGAATTTTAATTATTCTATTGCACCTCTGAAATTTAATAACTTTTTGGAATTTCATAGTCATATTTAAGTTCTGTAAATGTATTTTCTATTTTATATTAATTGTTTACATTTTCTTGCAATTTAGAAAATTTTTTCATGTTTGTCCTTCTCGAAGTTAAATTAAAATCATCATTATCTTTTACTTATTCTTATATTTGCTCTTTTATTTCATGTTTATAATCATTTATTATATTACCTTTAGATTACTTTTTTTTTAAATTAATTTTTTTTTAAACAATTAACATATATATATACTTTTTTTTATATACGTTTTTATTTTAATTTTCTATATTTATATTAACAAAATTATCTTATTTATTTTAGTTTTGATTTTCTGATATCTTGGCAGTAATCAAACCTAATTAAGTTTTTTAACTATTTTATATTATATTATTTGATCTCTATTTAAATTTAGAAAATAAATATTCTGATAAAATTTCAATTAATGATATTTATGGTGTTGGGTTAATTTTATTATTCTTTACTAACCTTTCCATTGATAATAATCTTATTAAATCTAATTTTGTCATTTTTACTCTTGGTCTTTTATCTTCTAATTCTAACATATTTAATGTTTCTTTAAAATCATATTTTAGTAAAAATTCTCTTATTAAACTTCTTGCTAAATCTTCGGGTTTTACTATATTTTCTAACTATTTAAAATCCATGATTTTTTTTTAAATTTAATATTTTAATATTAATCTGTATTTTAAAAATAAATAATTTTATATTTAAAAAAAAAAAATTAAAAAATAATTTATAATTGTTTAAATATATATATATTATTTGGATATGTATTTTAATAATGTATTCTATATTTTTTTTTTTTTTTCAAATTTAAATCTTAATACTAATATTTAAAATATTAAAACTTAAAAAAAAAATATTCAAATATATTTTATTTTTAAAAAATTTCTTAATAGTAAAAATATAACTTAAGATTATATATAAGTATTTTTAAAATTTATTTTATTTTTTGTATTTATAAAACTTTTTATTATATATTATCAATTATATATTAATATAAATACAATATAATTAATTATTATAAAACTTATTTATTTCAATTATTATATTATATTACTTAAATAAAAAATTAATTAAAAGATCATTTAAAAAAGTAAATATAAGAAATATAAAATGGGTTGTGGTAATTCGTAAGATAAAAAATCTATAATATAGCCTGAATAAATAACTAACACATATAGTTATATTTAATAAAAATATCTAAATAAATATATCATATATAATATTAATAACAAAAAAAAATAAAAGATAATAATAATACACTTAATATATCTAACGAAGGGTTTGTCAAAGAAAAACTTGGGAAAATACACCATGATTATACAATTTTAAATCCTCCATTAGGGAAAGGTAATATAATAATTTTATTTAATATTATAATTTTATTTAATATACTATAATATAATATAAAAATATAAGAATAAAAACTTATATTATAAAAGAAAAAAAATTATTTATTTTTTAAATAAACAAAAAATAAAGGAGCATATGGTGAAGTAAGAAAAGCAATACATAAAACAACATAAATAGCAAGAGCAATAAAAATAATAAGTAAATAATCCACATCTAGAAGTGATTAAGAAAGATTAAAAATGGAAGTAGATATGTTAAAAGTTCTTGTAAAAAAGACTATATATATATAAATAAATAAATAAAAAAAAAAATATTTAAATAAAATATTTATTTTATAAAAAAAAAAAGGATCATCCTAATATTATAAAAGTATACGAGTTCTATCAAGATACTAGATATTTTTATATAGTAACCGAATTATGTACAGGAGGTGAATTATTTGACAAAATAATCGATGAACATTAATTTAATGAAAAGAAGGCAGCAGAGACGACGTATCAAATACTTAGTGCAGTAAATTATTGTCATAAAAATAAAATTGTACACAGAGATTTAAAACCAGAAAATGTTTTGTATGAATCTAATTAACCAAATGCTTTATTGAAAATTGTAGATTTCGGAACATCTATTACATATAATCCTAATGTAAAAATGAGCCAAAAACTTGGAACCCCATATTATATAGCTCCTGAGGTTTTGGAAAAAAAATATGATGAAAAATGTGATATTTGGAGTTGTGGAGTTATACTATATATAATACTATGTGGATATCCTCCTTTTAATGCAAACAATGACGTTGCTATAATGGAAAAAGTTAAGACTGGAATGTATATAAGTATAATAAAAATTGTTTGATTTTTTTGTTTAAAATTTTTTATATATATATATATAAAAAAAGTATATATATATATAAATATATATTAAATAATATAAATATAATATTTTATATAATATAATTAATAATATATATTAAATTTATAATAAATTTAAAGTTTTTCATTTAGTGGAAATGAATGGAATTACGTTTCTAATGAAGCTAAACAATTAATTAAGTAAATGTTAGAAAAAAATACCAAAAAAAGAATATCAGCAGAACAAGCACTTAAAAATATTTGGTTCTAGAAAAGAACATAATGTTAAGTTGATAAATAATCATTTGAAAAAGCTCTTACAAATATGAGAAATTTCAGAGTAAAAAAATATAAATTACAAATATTTTATTAATAAAAATTATTTTAAAGACTGGTAAAAAATTATAAGAAGCCACTTGGATGTTTTTAGTAAACTATTTAGCTTCTAAAGAAGATAAAAATGAACTTTTAAAAGCTTTTTAATCATTAGATACAAATGGTGAAATATTTGTTTATATAATAACTTTATTAATAAAAACATTATTTTTTATAAAAATATAAATATAAAAATTTATAAAAATATATTTATAAATATAAATATATATATATTTAAATATTTATATTTTTTTTTATTTTATTTATGTAAATATATTAATATCAAATATAAATATTTAGGAGATGGTAAATTATAAAAGGATGAATTAATTTAAGGTTATTTGAAGATTTTAAGCCCTGTTTAAGCCGCTTTGGAAGTTGAGAGAATTTTATAAACTGTTGATAAAAATAATTCAGGAGAAATCGATTATTCTGAATGGGTTGCTGCCACTATTAGCAAAGAAAATTTATTATCTAAATAAAGATTAGAAATGGCTTTTAAAATGTTTGATAAAGATGGTAGTGGTACTATTAGTATTGAAGAAATTAAAGATGTTTTTGGAGGAATGGGAAAGGTTAATGAAAATTTTTGGAAAGATATTATAAAAGAAGTAGATGGAAATGGAGACGGATAGGTTATTATATTAAAATATAATATATATATATATATTAAAAAAAAAACCTTAATATATATATATATATATATATTTCATAATATATAAATATTATATTTTTTTTTATTTTTTTTAGATTTCGTATAGTGAATTTAAAGAAATGATGCTTAAATTAATAGATATAGATGCATAAAAATGATGGAAAAAATATAAAATATTTTATTTATTATATAAATATATTTATCATTTAAAAACAAAACATATATATATATATATATATATAAAATATTTAGTTTAATATAATACAATTTAATTTATTTTTTAAATAATAAAATTTTTATTAACTTTAATAATCTTTTTTTTATTTAAAAAAATATAAATTTAAATAATAATGAATTTTTTTTAATTTAAATTTTTATATTTTTAAATATCTAATTATTTAATTTATTTAACCAAACAAAATATATTTTATTAATATTTACTTTCCATATAAACGTTTATATATTATATATTTAAAAAAATCTTATATTATTTCTTATTGCATTAAAAAAAATTAACTTTTTATGCTCTTTTTTATTAATCAATTATTAAATTTCTTTTCCTTTTCCTTTTTCTATATTTTTTTTTTAATTCTAGTTATTTTAAAATTATTATATACAAAAATTATATTTAACTATATTTATAATAAAAATAAATTAAGTTTTATAAAATATAAAAAATGAATTAAAATTTTTTGTCAATTGATTAGCAAAAAAAAAACTATAATTATACACCATTAAATTTTCTGTATAAATTATAAAAAAAAAAAAAAGATTTATATATTCCTGTTAAAAACATAAAATAACTATATAAATAATAAATAAAAAAAAGATTTAAAAATGTTCATTTAAGTGAAAACTCTACAAACTTAAGAAAATAAAATGTTTATAATAGTCAAGAAAGGAAATTAAGTTAAATGAGCATTTTAAATAAAGAAAATGAATTTAATCATTTAGTAAAAGGAAAAGAATAGCCAGTTAATTTTTTTTCGCCATAAAAATAAATTAAAGATAATAACTAAAATTAGTTAGATGAATTATTAAGCTTCACAAAAAAATTAATTTATTCATCAAATTAAATGAAATAATGTTTAATTCAAGAAATAAAAAATAGTTTAAATTTCGAATCTTAATTTAACATAAAAATTTATGAAAGCGATAAAAAATAACTTGAACAAAGTTTATTATTAATTTATAGACAAAACACAGTATAAAAATAAATAATATATTATTATAATAAATATATATATATATATATATATATATATTTATATATATATATTTATATTATATATATTTAATATAGTATTAGAGATTTTAAAAAGAATGCTAATAATTAAAAAAATTAAATATGACTATTGATTAATAAAAGAAAGAAATTTTATAACTTTAATAAAATTTAGAAAAATAAAATTTAAAAGCTAATAATAGAAAGACTATTATTTAAAATTTTAATTTAAAATTGAAATATCCATTAGATTTGTATGTTTAATTTCTTGATAATTTCATACAAATCGATTATACTTAAAATATATAAAAATATATTGATATTAGTATTAAATTGAATGAACTTACTTAAAATTTCGAAAAAGAAAATGACATGCATAAAATTTAAGATATACAAAATTCTATAAATTTTTTTTCTATATAAAAAAAAGATATTTTTTTGGAATATAAAAGTATTATTAAATGCATAAAATTTTATTTTTTTATTTTTTTTATAATATAACAGAAATTTTGTTTGATAGTTTTTAAAATAAAGAAAATTTTAACGAATAAATAAATAAATTATAAAATGAAATTCTAAAAATAAATTAATAATTGGCATCTGAAAATTAAATAAAAATAAACTAATAATTTGATTTTATTTTAAATTAAATTGATAAAAACTTTAAAGATACAAATGAAAATTTGATTCTTAACATTAAAGAAAATTTAGAATAAAATTTTTAGATTTTAAAAAATAATGAAAATATTTAAAGTTTTTAATAAAAGAAGGTTTAGGAAAATTAATAAAATATAATATAAAACCTTGAAAATGAAAATACAAAATAATAATAAGAAAATTAAAAATTGTATCAAGAATTATATAAACTATAAGATTAGTATAATGAAATACAATAGATAAATAAATAAAATTAATAACAAAACATATAATTTTAATAATAAATTTAGATTATTTAATAAGTTAATCAATAATATATTTAAGATGCCTAAAAATATAAAGAAAAAAATAAAAAACATAAATTAAAAAATGAAGAATATTAAAAAGAAGTATAATAATTTTAATTAGAAATATAAAAATATTAAGAACAAATATAAAGATTATTAGAAAAATTATAAAAGAAAAAAGAAAAATAAAAAGAAGAAAATTAAAAATCTTAAAAAGAAAAATAAAATGAAAATTAAAAATATTAGGTTAATAATCAAAAATATGAAGAAGAAAATTTTAATTAATTATAATAAATAAAATAACAATAAGAAACTATAAAATAAATATAATTTGAAATATAACAATAGATTGAAAAAATAATATTACTATAAGAAGAAAATTAAAAATATAAACAAGAAAATTAAAAATAAGAGATAGAATTATAAAAATAATTACTTGAAATTTAAAATTATATAGAAGAAAATTAAATATATATAAAAGAAAATTTATAATTAAAATAAGAAATAAAAAAACACGAAACATAATATATAGAATAAGATAAAATTATTCAAAATAAATAAGAAGAAATTAAAAAAAACCAAGAAGAAATATAAAAATAATAAGAAGAAACAAAAAAATACAAATAAGAAATATAATTATAAAATAAATAAATACAATAAAATTATTAATAATAAATCTAAAACTTAACTGATAATTAAAGCTAATAACAAAAAGAAGAACTATTTGATGATAAAACAAATAGATAAAACTAAACTACTAAAATTTAAGAATAATAAAATCAAGAAATAACAGATAATCAAGAAAATATAACAGAAGAAATTATAAAAAAACAAAAAACTATATTTTAAAACTCGAATAATTACTCGATGATATTTTAGAAAACAGCCCCGAGCCTTAAAACAATAAATAAAAAGGCCAAAAATTTATTACATTAGATTTTATAGAGGAAGTAAATAATGAAAATCAAAATAAATATGATCCTACAATTTTATCAAAGGAAGAATAAGAAAAGGTTACAATGTATTAATTACTTTTAAACGAAAAAAAATAGAAGTTTTAATAATTAAATAATGAACTAGAAGAACTAAGTGATAAAAATATATAATTTTAATAACTATGTAAAGTATAAAAATAGAACTTTTTTAAATAATGCGAATAAATAAATGAAGAAGAATTCGAAGATGATGAAGATGGAAGTTTTTTTAAAATAACGAAAAAATAATTTAAATTAAAAAATTTAAGAATATTAAAAAGAAATTTAACAATAATAAAAATAAATTTAAGAATTAAAAATTAGATTTATGATTTATAAAAATAAATTAAATATTTAAATGATGAAATAATTGATTAAAAAATATACATATAAAAGAAAATTAAGATATTAATTAAAAATTTTAAGAATAAATTCATTTACTAAATGATAATATTAGTAAATATTTATCAGAAAAAGCTCATCTAAAAAATGTTTTTGTCGGATTTATTTAGGCTAAGTAATTTTTTTAAAAAATAATATTGATAATATTTTATTTTTTTATATAAACCTTTATTTTATTATTTTTTTTAATTTAAATAGAAAAAATAATAAAATTATTGAGATGGAAAATTATATTAATATTGTATTTAGCTTTCTTAATATATAAGAAAAAGAAAAAGAAGAATTAATAGTAAAAGTTTGTGGTAAATATGATAAAAAAAAATCTATTATATAATAATTATGAAAAAACAAAAAAGCTAATCTAATAAATTATAAGATTAACGAAATCAAAAATACTTTAATTTATATATATAAAAATAATAATTAAAATAAAAAGTTTTTTTTTTTATTATTTTTTTTTTTATTGTTTTTTTTAAGTTTTTTTTTTTTTTTTTTTTAAAAAAAAAAAATAGAGATAATAATTTTTATAATTAAAAAATAAACAAACAAAATTCACTTTTTCAATATAACTTTTTTACTTTATTCATGGTTAATTTTATTAACATTTGAAACCAAATTTTTAATCATATATACAAAATCATCTCTATTAGGATTTTTAAAAATTCTTTTAGTTTTATTTTCTAAAAAATTTTTTATTAGTTATTCTTTCATAAAACTTTCAATTACTTATCTTTTATAATCAATATGATTATATGATTAATAAATATTATTTTATAATCTTCTAATTAATTACTCTTCTTTCATATCTTTATTTATTTTAATTTCAATAATATTAGTAATTATATCTAAATAATATTTTTCCCATAACTAAAGCAAATATTTTTTATAAAACTACATTTTCTTAAAAAATCCTTTTAAGACTTAACAAATTTTCTAGGCTTTATAATAATATAAATTTAATTTATTTAAAATATTTTGTCTTTCTACATTTAAATATAAAATTTCAGTTAATATTTAAGAGCTTTGATTTTTTTGATTTTTTTTCATTAGTAAAGTATATGTTTTCAAAACATTATAACAATTAATAATTATTCTTTATTCAATTTTTATCTTTTTATTTATATATAAAAATTAGAATATATATTTATTTACTTATTTCATTTTATTTTTATGTTTTATAAATGGACGAAGCATCATAAATGCCATATTTCTCATTACTATATATCTATGTTTAAATTTATCATATTTTTATTTTATTTTATGAATTACAATCGATAGTTTTATTACTGTTAACCATAAGAAAAAAACTACTTATTTATAAAATTTCTTAATTTGTTTTATTTTTTAAACTCTATTAATTTTTTTCTTTAATTCCTATTTTAATATACATATTATATTTTTATATAGTAAAATAATTACCTTAATATATATTTTATCTTATTTTTGTGCTATTTCCTTAAAAATATTATCAATCTTTATTTTTTAGCATTATATTATTTTCTATTTTTTCGATTAACTTTAAGAACTTTTTTATTAATTTATTGTATACTAATTAATCTATTTTACATTTATTATATTTTAGCGAATATTATTATTTCTAAAAATTAAATTTT